TGGCTTACAACCATCTGTAATGAGATTTGGTGCCCTCTTGCGGTCAGCAAGCATACAGACAGAAAACTGTATAAATAATAATAAATAAATCTTTAAAAAAAGAAAAAGTAATAGAGTAATAAAAGTAAGCCACATAATGGTGGAATACACAGAGAGTCTGGATTATGTATATTGACTTTTTTTTTTTTTTTTACTGTGAATGAGCTAAGTACAGAGAGAGATTTGATTCTGGGGGCTGCTAAGTTAAACCAACATAAAGGAATCTTGACTTCAAAATTTGGGCCTAAGGATATGTTTTGGAAAAGAGGTTCTGTTTTTGTTTCCACAGAGGATAAAAAGCTTGGGATTCCCTACCGGCTAATATGGTTTGATCAAACAAGACCCCCTGAAACAATGGCCCAGAAGGTCCAACATCCATGACAGCTTCAGGACTGCTGGCTGAGATGGACCTACCACATAGGATACCCCTTAAAAGACCTGAGTAACAACACCCCAAATCAGCAGGAAGTAGTCTAAAGAACAACGCCCAAATACCCTAAATGACTATAAATGTTTGCTTACATTTAAAGGGAAATATGTTATAGAGATGAAAACTATACATTGGTATAGATTTTGGTCCATTTATTTATTTATTTGTTATGTATACACTATTCTGTCTGCATTTATGCCTGCAGGCCAGAAGAGGACACCAGACCTCATTACAGATGGTTGTGAGCCACCACGTTTGGAAGAGCAGGCAATGCTCTTAACCGCTGAGCCATCTCTCCAGCCCTATTGAGACAAATTTAAGGTCAATTTTGTTATATATATTTTTCTGCTCGATTAAGGTATTGTATTTTTGCAGCTCACTTAAAAATGTAATGCATAATTAAGAAATACAGGCTAATAGTCATCTATAGTAGTCAATTTTGAAGTCATGTTAGTTATGTTTCTACACGTACAGAGATATATTTCCGATGGATAGTTATTCTTCAAACCTTTCAACGACTAGCAGAATATGGCATTTAAAATGTTTAAAAACTTAGGACTTTTCATGACAATGAGACACATCTGCTCCTGGCAGCACCAATCTACTTCAAGAGGATGATGGGCATTGAAGAGGCTCCTTATGGAGCTGGTTAGCTATTTGGGCAAGACACTGCTCTTTCCTGGACTGTTTGATGTTACGCTATATAAACTGGATATGCAGGACCTGTAGAAAGATGACTGCTGAAGTTGCCTAAAGAAGGTAAGATAGTCCTTTAGGGTTCCTGCTTTATGAAAGAGTCTGCCATACATTCTTCAGGACACAGAGGAAAGTGACTGACAAACTGCCAATATAGGCAGACCTGTCTTTGAAATTTCCTTCTTCATGGAAAAGTCTGCCAGATACTATGGGCCTGTAGACTGATGATGGATACCCCAACAATACAAAAGAACTGTGGGTTCAGGCAACTCGATGTCTCTGTCAATTCTAGAACTTTGGAAGTTGCTTTCAATGCACTTTCTGTTACTTAGGTAATATTATATCCTTCTGGGGTCTTTGGTGGAGTTGAAGAATAGTTATAATTATAGTTTTACTTAGTTATGATAAAAGATAGATACAAACATTATAACTGTAATTCTTGCTTGATACCTGTTTTGCTATATATAATTTTACTATGTTAAAAGTTAAAACCTTCCTTTTTATTTAGACAGAAAAGGGGAGATGATGTGGGATTCCTCTCTGTGTGCTATAAATATGTTCTATTACCATTGGTTAATAAAGAAGCTGCTTCAGCCTATAGCAGGGCAGAATATAGTCAGGCTGGAAGAGATATATAGAGAGAGTAGGTGGAGTCATGGAGACGGCATGTAGCTGCTAAAGGAGAAAGACACCAACTGCCAGCCAGAACCTTACTGGTAAACCATGAGCCTAGTGGCAATACACAGGTTAATAGAAACGGATTAATTTAAGATGCAAGAGTTAGTTAGAAATATGCATAAGCTATTGGCCAAGCAATGTTGTAATTAATTTAGTTTCTGTGTGATTATTTCAGGTCTGGGCATCCGTGAACAAAAGAGCAGTCTCTGTCTACAGTCAATGAGTACTGGCCGCTCTTCCAGAGGACTTGAATTCAATCCCCAGCACCTACACAGCAGTTACCAACCATCAATAGCTCCAGTTCCAGGAGATCTCATGCCGTCTTCTGGCCTCCGTGGGCATGAAATGCAAGGCAAGCCCATTAATCTCCCGAATGCCCCCAATCCTTTTAGCATCCAGACTGACTTCTCTGAATTCTCATCCCCATAATCCTCACTTTAATTTTCAAAGGAACACAGCCCTGTACTTTCCCAAATGCTTTCAAAGATAGGAAAAGAGTATCTTCCAGCATCATAAGCTGTTAATATCCTTCCTCTGGCACCTCCATCTCCAGCTCCCCTGATTCCATGAATTTAACTTTTCCCCATCCACGTATGTGCTGAGGGCCCTATCACACAACCCCAATCATGTCCAAGTAGTCTGACCGCGTTCCATTTTCTCCCCTTGCTCTTCTTCTACCCACCTGCAGGCTAATCGTTCAGAACAGGATGCATACTAGACACCTAACTAAAAGGAAAATTAGAGAAACCTAAAAACCTAGCTGTAACTGAACAAACAAATCCAAACTGAACATGAAACTCAGTATCTCCTAATGTTATCATAAGGTGGCCATTACAAACACATGAAATGCAACCTGAAAAACAAAGGATCTGCTACTCTTTTACCAAATGACAGCTCATCCTAGCCTGAGACTTATTGTCACCTGTCTGTTTCCACAAGCTAAAATAGCCTCTTTTTCACTCTTTCACACTGAGGTATTCACTGGTTGTCATCACGGCTCTCATTATACAAACGCATCCTTTACGCAGTACCAACGATCCGTTATGCGACGTCCATCAAAATTTGCCAAAATGTTAGGCCCCGAAGACAAAAGACTACGCAATCACGTCACAGAAATCACGGCTTAGGCACGCCAGCTAAGGAAACCCCGGATACAATACGCCACAGAAAATCTCAGATGCGAGAAGGGACCCGCAGCAAGGCGCTGAAGCCTCCATGATGGTCTAACAAATTCCTGATAGAGGTTTTATCTACACGCGGCAAGGAATCCATGCAGCTGGGGGAGGGGATCCACAGCCCCGGCAGTTGTGCCCCGCAGCGCTTCATGATGGCCTCGGGGAAACAAGCGTGCAGAAAGCACCCAACACTCGAGAGAGGCGGTCCAGGCCTCTGCACGGGCAGAAATGCGTGGCTCGCCCCTGCACTAGGACCGTCCTGGATTTGCTGGGCCTGGCCGGGCGCAGCTGCTCGGGCGGGATCGCCCGCAAACGCTCACCTGAGACGCCCTCGCAAGACTAGGCCGTCGCCTCGGTCTGCGGCCCCGAGCTCTCACGACGCACTGGGTTTGGGAGGAATCCGCCACAGCACACGGGCGACGGAGACTCGCACCACTGATGGGCGAAACCCGTCAGCTTGCAAGCCAGGCGCAGGCGCAAGCGCGGCGTCACTAGCGAGGCGCGTGGGCGGCGTGACGTCACCGCGTAGGCGTTGCCGATCGATCGGGCCTCTCTTCTGTTGCTAGCAGGAGCCTAGTCGGGTTGTGCACGACTATTGTCTGCTGTCCTACAGCCCCCCCGGCCCCCGGTTGTATTAGTGCCAGAGTCGGGCGTTGTCCCCCGAGTGCCAGAGACTGGTGGGGGTGGGGGGGAAGGGGAGAGAACGGAGACTGACGAGGTGCGCGCATGCGCACGACGCTACCACGCGGGAAGTAATCTCCCTCTGGTCTGGACCCGCAGAATGGAAGAACTCGAGAGCGGAGAGGGAGGGTTGGCAGGGCCAGAGGTAGCCATGGCTACCGAACCCGCGGCGCCCTCCCTTGTGGATCGATACTTTACTCGCTGGTATAAAGCGGGTAAGTGTGGAATGATGGTGAGCTCTGCGCTACCAGGCGGGATGCCGCGGGGACTCCTGCTCCCCGGTGTAAGGCTCCCGTGCGCTAACCTGAGCCTCCTAATACCAAGAACACAGGGTTGTATTGTTGGAGAACTAATGTAGGCGCATCCAATGTCGGAAGCGCAGGGCAATGTGGGGCGGGGGGAGAGGGTAGCGGTGACGTAAACGAAGGAACCCCGCATTGGGCTGCCTAGTGTTTGTGTGCCTGTCGGGCTCAATCCTAGATAGGCGGGAGGAAACCTTAATGCTGAAGAGAGCCTTAAGAGAAATTCAGGAAGCAGTATCTAGTGTTAAGAAACCGCTCATATTGTCCACTTGGCGTTTTAAAGTGGCTCTCCAGGGGTCCTGTTCTGTGTGCCCAGAAAATATCGATGCCACGTTTGGGAATTCTCCAATCTCTGTTTTAGCCTTTTTATTCCAGGAAAACGGTGGATGCACACACGAATAGATAGATTGGGCCAAAATTAGCATAAGCAACCCTCCTCACAACTGAATTTTCCCAAAATGTGGTTTTTGCATAACTTAAAGACAACCCTTGGGACTGGAGGAATGGCTCAGCCGTTAAGAGCACTGCCTGTTCTTCCAAAGGACCTGCGTTCAATTCCCAACACCCACCTGGTAGCTTCCAACTGCCTGTAACTCCAGTTCCAGGGGATTCTGAAAGCCTCACATAGACATACGTGCAAGAAAAGCACCAATGCACGTAAAATAAAAGTAAATAAATCATTATTTTTTAATATTTATTTATTATGTATACAATATTCTGTGTGTATGCCTGCAGGCCAGAAGAGGGCACCAGATCTCATTACAGATGGTTGTGAGCCACCATGTGGTTGCTGGGAATTGAACTCAGGACCTTTGGAAGAGCAGGCAGTGCTCTTAACCACTGAGCCATCTCTCCAGCTCCAATAAATCATTTTTTTTTAAAAAAAGACAACCCAACAACACCACAATGTAAGCAATGTGGTACTTATTCTGTTTCTCTAATAGAAATAATAGGTATACTCATTTTAAAGGGACAAGATGGAGGAGTTAATAACCTTTCCTGCCTGAACAATGCATAAATGATTCTGTCTGGATTGGGCCCCTTAAACACTCCATAGCTTTATTTACTTCCCTGTCATCAGCATTAGGCCCAGCTTCACAGTGAACTATCTCCATGAACCAAAGAGGGTAATCACATGGTAATAGTAAATACCAGTTCAAGAACCAGCAACTCATTTATTCCTCTAGATGTTAAAGGAAAACCCTGTGAGGACCACTGTATACTACAGCACTCCAACCGGTAAGCAAACCAAGAATTCTTCAGTTACCAGCACTTCTGGTAGTTAGCCTAATGTAGTCTTGGGCTGGATATGAGCATTCAGGAAATTCGGGCAACGAATAGCGCCAAGGTGGACAGCTAAATCCACTTAAAAGCTGAGAAGGCTTGGAAAGTAATTCCAGACACAAAAGAACAAAGTTAAGCATGACTTCTTGGTAGCAGCATTTTCTCTGGTGGGCTCTGTTTGCTAGAGGCAAGCATGTCTCATTTAAGAGAGATTTTCTGACTCGGCTTTAGCTGCAAAAACCTTGCAGCTCTTTTAAAAGGCCCCACCACGAAACACTTAAATGGTGTTGATGAATAGCTGACTGCATGCTTTTTGGTGGTGGCAAGGATCTTGAAACTCCATAGGGTTCTGGCAATAAACATGGCTCTGCTCAGTACCTCCCCCATGAGGCTAGCCTCTCAGAAAGCTAAGGAATGGGGTGGATCCAGCCGTCAAAGCCACAGCTTTAATCCTAGCCATATAGCAAATTAAAGATTCATGTGATCAGAAAAAGAGAGATAGACAGTAAAGATAGACTCAGATAAAAAAAAAAAACCTCTAAATGGTTTACAGAGAGTTTAAGAATATATGTAGGCTTATGGGGAAAAAGAGAAAGGATAAAGTCCTTAAACTGAGAGAGAGAGAGAGAGAGAGAGAGAGAGAGAGAGAGAGAGAGAGAGAGAGAGTAGTTGGATATGGTGGCACACACCTTTAATCCCAACACTTGGGTGACAGAAGCAGGTGGATCTCTGTGAGTTCAAGAACAACCTTGTGTACAGAGTGCCAGAATAGCCAGAGATACACAGAGAAACCTAGTCTCAAAAAATTAAAAATAAAAATAAAAGAAATAGAGTTTAAAATAAAGCCACATAAAGACAAAAATACACAGAGTCTGGATACTCTATATGTTATTGTGTTGTCTTTAAATGGTTTGATGGCTGAGGAAGGAGCAACAGCTGCTAAAAGACATTTGATTACAAATGCTTCTGGATTAATACAACATGTATTTTAAAAATGCTTCAAAATTTTAGTCAAAAGATATGTTACTTTGGAGAAGAGGTTTTGTTTTTGTTTCCACAGGAAGTGAGAGGCTGTGGATTCATTATGGGTTTAAAAAAATGAGGTTTGATCAAGGAAGACCCCCTGAAGAATCCAATAGGCGCGGGTGGTCCAGGTGATCCAGCATTTCAGGGGACCTTTGTTGCAGTTTTCTCTGAGTTCTACATCCAGAACAGTCTCAAGACTGCTGGCTGAGATGATAAGCCTCAAAGAATACTCCAGTCAAAACTTGATCATAATTCTAAATCTTCTTTAGGTCCCCATAAGATTATCAGCACCCCCAATCAGTAGGAAGTAGCCTGGAAAACTACGCCCACATTCCCAAATATGGATTATGGATATTTATGTTTGTTTAGAGTGTTGGTTACAAATTGTTATGAATAATGGTCTAGAAAAAATGCTGAACAAAGGAGATTAGATTCAGAGTTTTCGTTTTGAAAAAAGGGGGGATAGCAATGGGACAATGGTCTTGTATTGTTTTAATAAAATGCTGATTGGCCAATTAGCCAGGCAGGAAGTATAGGTGGGGTGACCAGAAAAGGAGAATTCTGGGAAGAGGGAAGGTTTAGTTTGCAGTTGTCATCCAGATGCAGAGGAAGCAAGATGAGAATGCCTTGGTGATAAATGGTACCAAGCCACGTGGCTAACAGACTAAAATTATGGGTTAATGTAGGGTATAAAAGTTAATAAGAAGCCTAAGCTAATAGGTCAACAAGTTTATGATTAATGTAGACCTCCTTGTGTTCCTTTGGGACAGAAACCTCTGTCAACAGTCTTCTCCAGTGTTGAGATGGTATTTTAAGAGTATAGTGGCAGGTGCAAGTCATTTACTGTGCCAACCACTGAAGAGCCAGACCTATGGGATGGCACACTGTGGAGGCCTGTGGACACAGTCATGCCTTGCTTCTCTGCTACTTAAGGGTTAGCTAAAGACTCAAGATACTGTTCCTTTTCTGGGAAGAAAATTCCCTATTTTCTCCTCTTCCATTATTATACTCCCCCCCTGCTACATTTAGCCTCCAGTCACAGCTAAGAGGTGATTGGACTGCGTGAAGGCTGGTTGGGCAGTCGTCTCTCAGTAGATACTGTTACAGCAGGGCGTCTCCAGCCATGCAGCAATGAAGGATTGACTTTTCTCCTTGTAGAATATGTGTCATCACACTGGCAGGATCTCATCCCGTTCTTCAAAGTGGCAAAACTATTGAAAGTATCTCCTATCAGATCAGTACCAACTGTAGCAGACTTCAGAACAAAGTGTCTGGGAAATTTAAGCGGGTATGTTCCTATTATTCTGTGATTTTCCCCCCAATATTTGTGCTATAATGGAGCCAGACTTTTTCTGGGAGTTCAGTGTATTTTCTGTAAAAACAACACCCACCCCTGAAAAAAAAAAGAAGAAAAGGTGTTCTGGAGGTATAATGTCTATCATTATAGATTCTGTGTCCACATTCTTATCCCCAAAGAGAGGAGATGGAAGATAGGCCTTTACCTGGTATCCCAGCTATTGGCTCTAGTGGCCTGTGTTCACTATAGGAAAAGTTTGTAAAAAGAGGGCAGTGCATGAAACACTCATTCACCTGCTCATAGATAAGACAACCCCGATATACCCACCTCCCAGAGAATCTGAAACAGTGACCATACATGCTGTCAGGTAGTGGATTAAAATATGGCACTAATAGTTAAAAGGCATGTGCTTCAGTTAGTTTTGTGGAGTTTATTTAAACATATTGTTCTTATTTTTATTTATGTGTATGTATGTATGTATGCCATGTGTGTGCAGGAACCTGCAGAGGTAAGGGGAGCTTGTCAGATCCCCTAGAACCAAAGTTACAGGTAGTTGTGAGCTACCATGTGGGTGCTGAGTATTAAACCTGGGTTCTGTTCAAGGATAGTAAATAAATAGTCTCAACTTCTGAGCTATCTCCCAGCCCACTAGTTTTGTTTTTTAGTTAGAAAAGCACTCCTAGCCAAGTGGTGGTGGCTCACACTTTTAATCCCAGCACTCGGGAGGCAGAGGCAGGAGGATCTCTATGAGTTCGAGGCTAGCCTGGTCTACCAGAGCTAGTTGCAGGGCAGGTATCAAAGTTACACAGAGAAACCCTGTCTCGAAAAACCAAAAAGAAAAAAGAAAAACACTCCTTCTTCAAAAAGTCGTAGTAATCTGC